AGGCAGAGGAAAATCTGACTTGTTTTTTTTTTTTTTTTAATTCTGACGACTTTAACTCTTTTTTCTCCCACCCTAAAAAGCTTAGCCAAATATAAGCAAGGGAAAAAAGCATTATGATAGGGATAGCCTTCAATCACACCAATTTATTTAAAAGGTAAATTGTTTGCAAAATTAATACTGTAATTATCATAACATTTCTTAAAATACGGCAAGCAAATGATCACACGCTAATGTATCAACACCACAGCTGAGACTGACTGCAGACTGCATCTCCCTTGCAGAAGTACTGGATAATAGACTGCCTGAGAGCCAAAGGAGCAGATGGAGCTAACAATATATACTTTTCTAAGTATCACTTTCACTCACTTTGGAGAAAAAGAAAATAAGATCTATTCATCATTCCTCAAACCTAGGAACCCAACTGAATCGTGGTGATAAGCTTCTTTACCTTAAGACACACTTCTTCCGTTTCTTCCTAATTATGATCAAAATTTAGAGTTACCATTTCTCACATAGAATGGCATTCAATTAACAAAGGGGCAATGAAAACTTAAGCCTATTCCCACATGATAGAAAAAGACTAACACAGAAGGTGCAAAAGAAATCAAATGAAGGATAAGTTGTATCAATCAAATTAGTAAAAGGACACATGGTCTATCTACTAAGAAATTTTTTATTTACTTTCTTTCAGAATGTTTACTATCATCTAAGCGGACAAAGGAGAAAAGATACACTGCCTCCAAACATCACTGTCAAACTTTTCTCCACTAGCTTAAAAATACAGAAAACCATTCCAAATTATTTAAAAGTAAATGCACATTCTCAAAGTCTTGAAAGACGATTTTCTGTCTAGCATCTATTCTAGCCTATTATTGCAAGTTTTGAAGGTTTCACAGAATTCTAGAATGTCAGGATACTCAAACAATAGTGAGTGCCAACTACCTCTAGTAGCTCCTGTTTCCTAGAGGTCTGAGTCTCCAAACAGCTCCACTACATAAGAAAACGAACATTTATGGGCATGAATTGTCTCTGTTGTTCCTCAAAACAAGATGTTGTAGTAGTTATTCCCATTTTTATATAACAGAGTGGCAGAACTGGAATAAAACCAGGTTCATTATGGGCTAAAGTCCAGATTTACTCCAATTTCTGAGGCTGACTCTCAAATAAGTCTTAAGCATCCAAGTAAGGGAATTTTCAGACAAGTATTTGGCTGATGTACACACCACAAGGTAAATAAAAGATGCAAGAGTTTCACAACAGAGATTCTACTGCTAGAGATTCCATTACGGTGGGGAGAGAGGGAATCTTGAAAAAAATGTTAACTTCCAGAATGAAAAAGCAGAGAAATATTTAAAATCTGTCCTAGATTACTCAGGTATTTAATCAACTTAAAAATAAATGGCAGTACCAACTCATCTATCTTGATTAAGATTGCCAGATTTAAAAATAAAAATTACAGGATGCCTACTTAAAAATGAATTAAACAAAGAAATTCTTTTAGTTAAGTATGTCCCATGCAAGTATTTGGGTCATGTGCCTACAAACCCGATCATATGCAGAGAACACAGATGAGAGAAGGATGGAACAAAAGGAAATTCTGGGCCTCTTATATTGTATTTGGGAAAGATAATACACACACCCCAGATGTTCCCAATATTGTTTCATCACGATTCCTCCTTAGCCATTTCACTCACTCATTCCCTTTACCCTATCATACATATATCACCTTAATCCTTTTATACAGTTGTTGTCTCTACATTTTCACGTGCCACATTTTGGAAACAGCCTTCATGTTTATAGTGTGTAGTCTTCTACTTAAAAAAAGTCATTTGCTTTAGTTGTCAATTCCAGCTTCCAGCTCTATCATTAATGATTAAGTTGCATCATAATTACACTGATTTTTCCCCCTTACTCAAGAGAAATACTTATAGTTCTCTTGAAATTCATACCACAGAGCTGGAAGTAGTGTGGTTTACAAAAACAATTTCTTCATGTACTTCCTATTCTATGACACAACATCTATACTAAAGAACACTGTGAATAAAAATCAATTATCAAATTTTAAAACATATTTTACCATACTTACAAGTAAACAGAGCTATCTCTGCATAAGAATATTTTGCACTTTCTACAGGAACAATGAGAAGCTTTAAATTCAGACAAAATAGCTAATTTTACTTAAACAAAACAGAATCATAAATATACAAGAGTAGTGACTGCCTATGCATACCCTACATGGGACAGGGAACATTTTTCTTAACAGTACCTGTTCTAATTAATTGTGTCACAAGACAGAAATCAAGGTGTTAAAAAAAAAAAGGCAATAAAGACAGCTTAATAGAACCCGATCTGTGAAATCCTAAATAATTTGGTAATTTACCTGAACAAAATTTAGAATCATATAGAATCATATACATATATATAATTTTTATATATCTATATATTAAATTCCCCATTACTCATGGTACTTAAATTTTTGCTAATGAGATTATGATCTGTTACTTTTATATTCTACGTTTGTTATTTTACAGATAACAAATCCAGCTACACATACCTATTTACATATGACATCCGGTGAGAAAAGAAGAAATGGTCTAAAGTGCCTGGTAATCAATAAAAATACTTTTTTGAGGTTTTACTACTACCTTACTACAAATAATCTAAACTAGACAGTGATAACTAATTAAGCAAAATTTTTTTCCTATTACTCTTTCAGTTCAATTACTGTTTCAAAACAGGATAAGAATTTATAATTTACTGAATCTTTTTCTCTAAGGCCTTTACAAGTGATTAAGAAAAATACTCCCAGACTCCTTTTTAAAAATTTCCTTGGCAGTTTTCAAACAACTGAATTACAATTTAAATAATCTGTCATATTTTAAATAGTCCCATTTTAATGCAACTCCAGAAAGGGCAAAAAAAAAAAAAAAAAGATAATTACCCTACAACTTTCCATTCCTTTAAATTTTTTCCCCTTCAATTTAGGGAATCAGTCCTCACAACAGCACAAAATATAGTACCACTAAACAAATTTAAATCGTATCACATTTTTTAATAATGTGGGTCTTACCTTTATGTAAATAGTTCTTTTCTCTCTTTTAAAAGAATTAGAAGTATTACACTCATGCCACATATTAATGAAGTTTGGTTAAACTGCCAGCAGTCTGACCTTTTTTACTTATAATGCTTACCATTCTTTACTACTTTCATACAAAATCTCTTTCTGTCATCCAATAAATTAGCCAAATATTTCAGATCATCTTTGCACTTTTAATCTAAACGTGCCTTTAAATTATAAATTTACAAAATTATCTGAAAGTTTGGGGTCACTGAAGTGGGTAAAGAGAAAGTTGAAATATTTTAAACTACACTTGTATTCTCACATAAAAAACCACAGACAAACTGAAATCAAATGTCATGTGAACCACCCCAATTTCCTTTTCGGCCTACAGCAGTAGCTATGGCATTGTTCTGCTCAACCCCTTAAAAAAAAAATCCTTTAATGCTTTCTACTTCCTCTTCTCAGCTAGACATCAGCCTCTGAGGGTCACTGAACCAGGGTCTTGGGAGGACGCGGGTCAAGCATAAACAGGTCCCCCAAAACCTTCAGCCTCCTAGTATACCGCTAACTTACCCTACAAGGCCTCCCTGCCTCTGCTCACGCTGCTCCGTCTGCCGAGAAAGGGCCCCGTGAACCTTGCCAGGATCCTGTAAAGGTCCAACTCGAACACAGTCTACTTGATTTACTTCCCTTTAGGTTACAGGCAGATCTAAACCACGGCTATATATATGAGACTCCCTCCCCTGCCCTCTAACCTGTTTCTTGGTAAACTCGTTTCCCCCCAAAGCAAGAGATCCACGCATCGGTTAACTGAAAATAAATTGTTACGTTAGTGATGTAAAGTTTTCATTTCTACTCCTATTTTAAAGCACGGACATTCCAATACTCCTTTCCCCTTTTCTTCCAACAAAGAAAAAAAATGACTTCTACGTAAACTAGAAAGTACCCGCTTTATAGTAGAAATTATCCACTTTGTTGAAGCAACTTAAGACCCGTTATGATACCACTGGTGACTTTTAAAGCCGCACCACATTTTGTACAACTGTCAACACATACAGCGATCACCTCCCGGCACTTGATTAAACTAAAAAAAGGAGAGCACTCCTGAGGTCTGAAGGTTCTTCATTCCTGTTCTAAAACATAAAACCACCATTTCAATATAAATCAATTTTTAAATACGAGAACTCTCCGTCCTCATTTAGATTCGTGTTACTTCCCTAATCCTAAAAATCAAGTCGTTGGGAATTTCTAAGGTTCCGGCTATTATAATGGCATCAAAATACAGAGCGTGACTTTGATTTCGCACGCAAACCCCGTGCCAGGTAACTTTTTTAAAGGCTGACAATTTGCCAGGCGAGACGATTTTAAAGACAGAACGCACACAACCGAAACCGAGACCCCGACACCCTGAACTGCAAGACCCCCGGACGAGCTCCCTCCCGCGGCCCGGACCCGCGCCTGAAACACTCACCCGAGGCCATGGCTCCGCTCACCGCGCCGCACTCTCCAAGTGTCCGACCCGAGGCCGCCACAATCAGCCCGCGTCGGTCCGGCGGCGGAGGGACTCTGCCGGCGGGACCCCACTCCGCCTGACCACCCCACGGGGCCTCCTCCTCCTTCCCGCCCTCCTCGGGGTTTGCGGCTCACACCTTCCCACCCCCTTAATTCTCGCGTTCCGGATCACCCGGCTTCTCCCGTCCAAGGTGCGGGAGCCAGGGGCAGGGGGCGGAGCGCCGCGAGAACCAAGCGCCCGCCGGGCCTAGAGGCAAGCAGCCTGGTGGGAGGGGGATTTCCCGCGACTGACGTAGGCCCCGCACCACCGCCTTCCCCGGGGCCCGCGTCCCGCCCCGTCCGTGCCCCGCGCCCCGCCCCTGCCGCCCCCGGCTTTGAGACTGGGTCCGGGCAGCGGGAGGCGGGATCTTCGGGAGCGCAGGGAACGCTGGGAGCCGGGCGGTGACTGTCCTGAGCGTGCGAAAGCCGCCGACTCCGGAGAAATCCCCCTCCTCCAGGTTGTTCTTAGGCGCGTGGTTTAAAGTTCAGGAGCGGGTGGGAGGATGCGCTGCCGTCCAGGGCACCGGCCGCCTGGGAGCACTTGGGGTCGGGCCGGCTGGCGAAGTGGGGCTGGCTCTCCCGGGCCCAGGCGGACGGCGGCTCGGGGTTTTCGATGGGTGGTTCCCCCTCTTCCCAATTTCGTACATGCAAATCTTCGCCCCCGCGCGGGCCGGCGGCGCAGCGCCGACGTCCCCGTGCGCCCGGCAGGGGAAGTGCGGAAGCCGCTGGCGCCTGTGTTCATTTGTAATTCACGTATTTGCATTTGGGGACCCCCGCAGTCTGATTTTCCCCCATTCTGTCTGAACTACGAAGGCTCTGTCAGCATTACGTATTTTACCCTACGAAAACTCTTAAGATCCGCACTTCCAGTTCGTGGCCTTATGACGCAGTGTGCTCAGGATTAGTGAAGGAAACGCTGTTTTAGTATTTGACAGATACCCACGAGGAAAGGGGAGTGGGACGAAAGTTTAGTGTGTTGAGGGAATCTAGTACAACTTTGCTTCTTTCATGGGCTAAGAATCTCCTGTGTGTCAGTTTATTTACCTCATTTATAACATTCTAATTTTATAGATGATGTAATGGGGGTTCAGAGAATTAAGTAATACTTCAGAGAAAAAATAATAAAGGTAATACTTCAGAGAAGTTAAGTTCTGGTAACAAGAAAAGCACAGTTTAAATCCAGGATTGTCTAACTCCATGCTCTTTCCACTATACCTTACTGCCTAAAACAAGTGCGGAGAGGGAATGGGGATTATCAGCCAGCTATGTAAGTGCGGAAACTGGAGGACCAGTTGGGGAAATAATTAAAAATAAAATCTCCTAATATAAAAACCGTCCACGAAGAGTAGAAAACAATGAAACAATTTTATTATTGAATAAGCATTAAAACATGCTGTGAAGCACTGAAGAGATTATAAAGACAAAAAAAATCTCATTTGTTTATGTAGCAGGCAGATAAAGCCATGAGAGACCTGCTGTCTTTATCGAAAGGAAAAAATAATACGAAGTTATATCTGGAAACCAAAAGCTGAGATTTAAACTCCCACAAAGACAGGGAGGTGGAGGGGGAGCGGGGTACCGTCGTCCTTAATACTTGCATTTCAAAGAGGTAAATTCAAGGCCCCCAAGAAAGACCTTAGGGGGATTCAAAACTGGCGCGAGGCTTACTTAGCTTTTTTAAAGGTGTACATACATCTCAAAGAGAAATCATTTACAATTTTGATTTTTCTAAAGAAATTGCTGAATGAAAAGAAAGGAGGTGAAGTTTCTTGTCCTTTTTGGGACCAGGGAAATTTTTTAATTTAATTTTTTAAACTTGTATTTACCCTTACAACCCCCAATGTTAGAGCTGTAAGGGAGAACTGAGGAGAGATTTTTTTTTTTTTTTTTAAGATTTTATTTATTTATTTTGACAGAGAGACAGCGAGAGAGGGAACACAAGCAGGGGGAGTGGGAGAGGGAGAAGCAGGCTTCCCGCTGAGCAGAGAGCCCGATGTGGGGCTCGATCCCAGGACCCCGGGATCACGACCTGAGCCGAAGGCAGACGCCCAACGACTGAGCCACCCAGGCGCCCCCTGAGGAGAGATTTTTAAGAATCCATTAGGAAGGTGAATGACAAATAGGAATGGAGAATATTTTGCTTGTATTTATTTATATTTCACCCCCAGAAACTGATTGATTTTAGGCACCTCTTGAACTCAATAGGGGATAATAATGTTTGTTTACTGAAGAGTTCTGCACCAAACAAGAGTCTGTGCCAGTTGCAGACTTCAGTTCTAAAACCACTCCAATCTATAAAATCACAAGTTGCAGCTAAAGAGATTTAGTAAAACTACAGAATTTTGAACTAAGTTTTATCTTTTATTTTTTAAAGACACTGACTTAACTCTCACTAATAGGACAGCATGTTTATATTTACTTCCAGGGCTATTTTTATTTGTCACATGACTAAGCTTATTATCTCCCCTTTTATTATGGGTTTTATTATCTCCCTCTTTTTATTTTTTTTTAAGATTGTATTTATTTATTTGAGAGAGAGAAGGAGAGAGCGAGCGAGAGAGCATAAGCAGGGGGAGCGGCAGAGAGGGAGAAGCAGGCTCCCCTTTGAGCAGGGATCATGATCTGAGCCAAACGCAGACACTTAAGCTTAACTGCTTAATGTACTGAGCCACCCAGGTGCCCCATCTCACCTCTTTAAAAGTTTTTTTTTTAAACCCTTTCACTATTTCTTTTTTTATTTTTTTAATTTATTTTTAAGATTTTATTTATTTATTGAGAGAGAGAGTGTACCTGCATGCATGAGAGCTGGGGGTGGGGCTGTGCACAGAGGGAGAAGGAGAAGGAGTGAGAGAACCCCAAGCAGACTCCATGCTGAGTCTGGAGCCTGACACAGGGCTCGATCCCACGATCTGGAGATCACGACCCCCAGCCGAAACCAAGAGTCAGAAGCCCAACTGACTGAGCCACCCAGGCGTGCCCCTTTATTTTATTTTATTTTTTAAGATTTATTTAAAGAGAGAGAAAGCACGAGCTGGGGGCAGGGCAGAAGGAGAGAAGCAGACCCCCTGCTGAGCACTGAGCCTGACTGTGGCTCCATTTCACCACCCTTAGATAATGACCTGAGCCAAAACCAGGAGTCAGATGCTTAACCGACTGAGCCACCTGGGCACCCCCCGACCTTTCACTATTTTTTAAAGTAGCTGAACCCCCTCTTGAAAGATTCAGTCCACACCTGAAAAGTGAAAATATTTTAGTTGTACAGGATATGCTTAATTTTTTGAAAAAGAAAGATTACATGACAAGGTAATGGATGGACTAAAACCAGCAAGGGTAAGTGGTGATTTTGATTTTGGGGGGACTTATGCTGGTGAAAAAATTTATTACTGTAAAGATGATAAGCAGCTAGTTGTTGGGGCTTATAGAAAAGAATAGCACATGTTGTTTTTCCTCAAGGGCCCCCAGTTGTTGTTGGTGTTCAGTTCAACAAATATCTACTCTGTGTCAGGTACTCCTCTCTTGGGAGCCCCATAGACATCCCAAACTCAACCTACTCAACATCTTTTCTCCCAAGTGTACTCTTACCCCATATTTCTTGTACCATCATCTACCCAGATACAGGTCAGGAAGCTGGGAGCCATCTTTGACTTTTAGCATCTCCCATCAACCCCACAACATCCAGTCACCAAGTCCTGCAGATTTTACCAATAAAATATGAATCCATTTCTTCTCCACTTTATTGCCATTGTCCAAGTTCAAATCTTCATCATATCTCACCTAAACTGGAATGGTCACCTATTATGCCCACCTACACTTTTGTCCTCTTTGAAAGCCATTCAAACCTATTCAAATCCATTGCTGCTTGAATCTTCTGTATGAATGCACATCAGACTTCTTTCTTCAGCCTCATCTTCTGCATTCCATGCTTTGCGCTCTTCCACATCATTGAACTGCTTCGTAGCTTCTCATATTCCATAAGCCGTGCGGTTTCTTATCCATCTGCCTTAGTACTTACTCTCTCCTCTGCCTAGAAGTTCCTCCCCAGAGACATGCCATGTTCATGGATTGAAAGACTTAATATTGTTTAAATGTCAGTTCTCTGCAAATTAATCCATAGGTTTAGTGAATCCCAGCTAAAACCCCAGCATATTGTTGGGGTTGACAAGGTGATTCTCAAGTGTATGTAGAATTGCCAAGGTCCTGGAATAGCCAAGCCAATAGTGAAGAATAAAGCTGAAGAATGTATATTACCAGATACCCACATTTATTATAAAACTACAGGAATTAAGACAGTGTGATATTGGCACAAGTTTAGATATTAATGGGCTGGATTAGAAAATCCAGAAACAGACCCATACATGTACAGTCTCTTGTTTATAACAGTCTCCACTGCAGGTGGTATGGGGGAAAGGCCTTTTCACTAACTAGTGCTGGAACAAATCTGTCATCTGGAAAATAATAAAAGCTGACCCCAACTTACACCCATACCCAAAGTATTATTTAAAATGGATCATAGAACTAAATGTGAACAGCAAAATAATAAAACTTCTAGGAGAAAACAGAATATCTTCATGATCTTGAGAAAGGCAAAGACTTCCTGAACATTATACAAAAAGCAATAACTACCAAAGAAAAGATAGATAAATTGGACTTAATTAAAATTAACTAACAGGTGTCACTAAGAGAATAAAAAGGAGAAGATACTTGCAATACATACATCTGGTAAAGAATTCTGTGGCATCCATGAAGTTACTTTGCTCAGATCTCCCTTCTAGAGAGGATCTACCTCAGCTTGCAAGCCAAGGCCACATGTTTCCTTGGAAGCACCTAGCCAATTATGAGCACAGTTGTGGGACAAGGACTTGCTATCTCTAGTGAGTACAGGACTTCTCTCTGGGGAGTCCTTGTGTCAGAGCTCCTTACTGGGCTGGCTGAGACTTTCTTAGAGATGTATGCCAATCTGATTCTATTCCTATCCAATTTTTCCATTTCCCTTTTCACAAGTGTCAGACCTGTATCTGAAAACTCTTCCTGCCTATTCTTTCTTTCTCTCCCCTTTTTCTTTCATGTATATCTCTTGCACTGATCATTTCATATTGGTATCTGCCTCACACAGGACCCAACTCATTCACTCTACAAATCAGTAAGAAAAAGTAACTCAATTTTTTAAGTGGGCAAAAGACCCCAATAGGCACTTTACAAAAGAGGATAACCAAATGACTATAAGCATATAAAATCAACATATAGAAAGGCACTCAGTCAAAAGAGAAATGTGTATAAAAATAATAATAAAATATTGCTACACCTTTGTCAGAATGGCTAAAATTAAAAGAACAATACCAAGTGCGAGAATGTGAAACAAATGGAATTCCCTTATATTTTTTGTGGGAATATAAGTTGGTATAATAACCTTGGAAAATTGGCATATAAATTGGTGTCTAACCCTAAGATAGTAAGTATC